GTAGGTGACACTACTTGATGTAATTAGAGCTCATAGATGATAAATTATTGTAGGTGACACTACTTGATGTAAATAGAGCTCATAGTTAATGAATTATTGTAGATGACACTACTTGATGTAATTAGAGCTCACAGATAATAAATTATTGTAGGTGACACTACTTGATCTAATTAGAGCTCATTGATGATAAATTATTGTTATGACAGCTAAGTTCCTATCCTCAGTACATGGGATCATGTATGTTGTGGTATACGTTATAACAGCTAAGTTCCTATCCTCAGTACATTGGCCATGAGATCATGTATGTTGTGGTACACATTATGACAGCTAAGTTCCTATCCTCTGTACATGGAATCATGTATGTTGTGGTACAAATTATGACAGCTAAGTTCCTATCCTCAGTACATGGAATCATGTATGTTGTTGTACACATTATGACAGCTAAGTTTCTGTACTCAGTACATTGGCCATGGGATCATGTATGTTATGGTACACATTATGACAGCTAAGTTCCTTTTTTCAGTACATTGGCCATGGGATCATGTATGTTATGGTACACATTATGACAGCTAAGTTACTATCCTCAGTACATGGGATGATCTGTGTTGTGGTACACATTATGACAGCTAAGTTCCTGTACTCAGTACATTGGCCATGGGATCATGTATGTTGTGGTACATGTTATGACAGCTAAGTTCCTGTACTCAGTACATTGGCCATGGGATCATGTATGTTGTGGTACATGTTATGACAGCTAAGTTCCTGTACTCAGTACATTGGCCATGGGATCATGTATGTTGTGGTACACATTATGACAGCTAAGTCCTATCCTCAGTACATTGGCCATGGGATCATGTATGTTGTTGTACACATTATGACAGCTAAGTTCCTATCCTCAGTACATGGGTTCATGTATGTTGTGGTACACATTATGACAGCTAAGTTCCTATCCTCAGTACATGGGATCATGTATGTTGTGGTACACATTATGACAGCTAAGTTCCTATCTTCAGTTTTGTATCATTATTTATATGTGATAATATTCTAACAGTTGTCTGTGTTTGAAAATGATTCTAGACAATTGTTGCTTGGTTGAAGGAATGTCTGTGAAATTAATTTTAATATAGATATGCATACAATACAGTGTAATCTAGAGGTGTATAAGAACTTACTTGGAAAGCTTAATACTCTAGTCAGTCTTAGTACAAAACAGTTACAGAAATCAATCTTAAAAATTAATGAAGGTCTTGTATCAAAATGGCAGTAAGTGGTAAAGAATTACAGTACATACTTTGTTACTAAATATATAGACTAAGGTTTTAAACATAGTCTTGTAATTGATGTGGGTAGATGAAAAAATATCTGTATGAAAAATGATTACATTCTGTATTGATTACATACTGTATACTAGCATTTTTCTGTCAAAATAATGAAAATATTGCTTAATTATAATAAGCTGTATTCTTATTTCAAACTATGTACTGGTTGAATAAGTTTAATTGATATTTTATGCAGACACTTAATGCCATAAGCAAGCATATTACATAACCTTCTGTACTTAAAGTCATAAGGAAGCATATTCTGTAACCTTCTAGACTGAAGGCCATAAGCAAGCATTTTCCATAACTTTCTATACCTAAGGTCATAAGCAAGCATTTTCCATAACCTTCTGTGTTGAAGATCAAAGTATATGTATGTTAAGGCTCCTTTTGATATATATATATATATATATATATTGTTATTAATTCTTATATTCCAATATGGCATTAAGAATGGCTGGCTTTACACTTTCATACTGTTTATTAATTAATTTAGTCGAGTCTTTTAATTTAAGGTAAAATTCAGTGTTTATATTAGAAACTTAATTTCTTTTTCATGGAAATAACAACATGGACACATATATTCTTTGATAAATTGTTTAGGCAGAGTATTCATGGTGAAACTTTGTTGAATGGATGGCGGCTGTCTGTTGTAGAAACACAAGAACAATGTTTCGAAAGTCTTCCGCCTTTCGTCTTTGGACCTGAAGATGAAAGGAGGAAGACTTTGGAAATGTTGTCCTCTACACTTGTGTTTATACAACAGGCAGTTGCCATTCTGTTCAACAAAGTTTCAACAGACACATATATCTGTGTACAACCTGAATAAAAAGTACCATGTTTTATTTTTCATATGGTTTGATATATGTGGAAAGAATAAATCTGTTTGTTGTAGATCCTGGAGCTACTATATAGAGAGAGGTGGACACGATATGATGGCTTAGGAGCCCTTATTATCACACCTACTAGAGAACTAGCTTACCAGATCTTTGAAGTGTTGCGAAAAATTGGAATAAATCATGATTTTTCTGCAGGATTAATTATAGGTGGAAAGGTAGGTAAAGGCTTAGTTTTTATATTTAATTGATATATTTCAAACCTTTGTATACATTTGTTTATATGTGTGTAGTACCTATTCCTATTATAACAGACTTTTATACAGATCATGGGGAAACTTGCAAATATGATACACCACTGGACAGAAAACTTACTGACTTAACTTGTCATCCATATTTTTGACTTAAACATTGACATATAATTTTCACACTAAGCTTAGTGAAAAATTTTTTTTTTTTTTTTCAAAAGAAAATTATTCTAAAAATTTGAGTCACAAACTACTTCTGGTTAAATAAAAGTGTAAAAACTTCAGGAAAATAAAAGAAATTTTACAAAATCCATTATTAAAGATGGAAGCTAGCATGAATCCACCAAACATAAATCTAGTCCAACCAATATGTTAACCCTTCCTGGGAATATTACATATTATCTGGATGAAGGAAAAGGTGTGGACTTGGTGTACTTAGATTTTTAAAAAACTTTTGATGCCGTACCACCCAAAGGATCAGCTAAGAAATCACATTATTAGATGTCGGGGAAAGACTAGTTACTTGGATTGTGAAATGCTTAAATCAGAGAAAGAAACAGGTTGTTATTTATGAACTTTTCTCACTGGTGGAATACTTCAGGGGTCAGTGTTTGGGCTTTTGCTCTAATTACATCAGTGATGCTGATAGGGGCATGATTAGTAAATTACTAAAGGTCATATATTTCTAGCTGTATTGAGTATGTTGAAGTATTACAATTATAGTACGTGCATCTGGGTTATCATAATTTATATCACATTAATATACATGGGAACCAACTCAATAGTGTGACTGCAGAAAAGGAACTTTGTATAGTGGTGGATAAGTCACTCAAGCTATCAAAGCAGTGCTCTGTTGCTAGTAGTAGAATTCTGTTGCAGAATTTTATGGTGTATTTATAGAAATATTCAGAACAAATCAAAAGAGGTAAATTTCTCTATAGAAACCACTAGTTAGGCCTCACTTGGAATACTGTGCTGGTTGTATTTATAGAAATATTGACTACAAATTTTTCTATACAAACCACTTGGAATACTGTGCTAGTTGTATTTATATAAATATTGACTACAATTTTTTCTATACAAACCACTAGTTAGGGCTCACTTGGAATACTGTGCTAGTTGTATTTATAGAAATATTGACTACAAATTTTTCTATACAAACCACTAGTTAGGGCTCACTTGGAATACTGTGCTAGTTGTATTTATAGAAATATTGACTACAAATTTTTCTATACAAACCACAAGTTAGGCCTCACTTGGAATACTGTGCTAGTTGTATTTATAGAAATATTGACTACAAATTTTTCTATACAAACCACTAGTTAGGCTTCACTTGGAATACTGTGCTAGTTGTTTTCTCCTTACCTAAGAATGGGTTTTGAATAATCAGACTGAGTTCAGAGGACCACTGATAGGATTATTCCAAGTTATGCCAGGCTTCAGTTAAACTAATTTTAGATAAGCCAGTATTGGTTCAAATAGATCAGTAACATAATAGGAGGGTTAAGATTTAGAAAAACCATGCCAGGCTCCAATCATATTTTTCTAACAGGATGATTGACTTATGGAATGAGTTACTATCAGTGATTTCCTCAAAAAAGACTGGGTTTCAATTTTTGCTTTTCTCAAGGGTGGGCATGCAAAGACATCATTGAAGGACCAAATTATCCACTGTCCTTTATATATTATGTTATCTGTTTTTGTCTGGTTAAATAAAAGTCTACCTCTGGTGAGTTTGGATAAATAAACCTTCCTTTAGATAAACTGGTTAAATAATTCATTCTCTAAAGATATGTTGATAAATAAAAGTCCATCTTTAGAAGTCTAGTTAAATAAAAGGTCATCTCTAGGTGTCTTAAATTCATTCACATACCTCTATAGTAGTTTGATAGCGTTATGTTACTTATATCGCAAATTGTACAGGTTGGCTACATTTTTAACTATGTGATTATTCAAATTGTTTTAAAAGTTTTTTTTTATTATAACTGTGAGGTATTAAATACTCTTATTAATGCAGAAGGTCTACAGCAATCTAGGGTAGTTATATAGAAAGCTATTGAAAAGCTAGAACAATCTAAGGCAGTTATATAGAAAGCTATTGATAAGCTAGAACAATCTAGGGCAGTTATATAGAAAGATATTGATAAGCTAGAACAATCTAGAGCAGTTATATAGAAAGATATTGATAAGCTAGAACAATCTAGGGCAGTTATATAGAAAGCTATTGATAAGCTAGAACAATCTAGGGCAGTTGTATAGAAAGATATTGATAAGCTAGAACAATTTAGGGTTGTTATATAGAAAGCTATTGATAAGCTAGAACAATTTAGGGTTGTTATATAGAAAGCTATTGATAAGCTAGAACAAGCTAGGGCAGTTATATAGAAATATATTGATAAGCTAGAACCATCTAGGGCAGTTATATAGAAAGCTATTTATAAGCTAAAACAATCTAGGGCAGTTGTATAGAAAGCTATTGATAAGCTAGAACAATTTAGGGTAGTTATATACAAAGCTATTGATAACCTAGAACAATTTAGGGCAGTTATATAAAAGATATTGATAAGCTAGAACAATCTAGAGTAGTTATATAGAAAGCTGTTGATAAGTTAGAACAATCTAGGTAGTGTATAGAAAGATATTGATAAGCTAGAACAAGCTAGGGTAGTTATATAGAAAGCTATTGATAAGCTAAAACAATTTAGGGTAGTTATATAGAAAGATATTGATAAGCTAGAACAATTTAGGGTAGTTATATAGAAAGCTGTTGATAAGGTAGAACAATCTAGGGCAGTTATATAGAAAGCTATTGATAAGCTAGAACAATTTAGGACAGTTATAGAAAACTATTGATAAGCTAGAACAAGCTAGAGCAGTTATATAGAAAGCTATTGATAAGCTAGAACAATTTAAGGTAGTTATATACAAAGCTATTGATAAGCTAGAACAAGTTAGGGCAGTTATATAAAAAGATATTGATAAGCTAGAACAATTTAGAGTAGTTATATAGAAAGCTATTGATAAGCTAGAACAATCTAAGGTAGTTATATACAAAGCTATTGATAAGCTAGAACAATCTAGGGTAGTTATATAGAAAGCTATTTATAAGCTAAAACAATTTAGGGTAGTTATATAGAAAGATATTGATAAACTAGAACAATTAGGTTTATTTGAAGGTATTTTCTCTGGTAAGGTTCTTAGACAAAACAACATTTTAAACATGAAATTTCTGGGATTGTTTATGAGCTAAGATGATGAAACTTAAGCATTTTGTTTTATGAACTTTTCTTCCAATAGGACTTGAAGTTTGAGCGACAGCGAATGGACAAGTGTAACATTGTAATATGTACTCCTGGTCGCCTGCTACAACATATGGACGAGAATCCATTGTTTGACTCTAGCAATCTTAAAGTTTTGGGTAATGTACTGGTAATATTGCTGGTTATTGAAGTATTGGTTTCTAGTTTTAGAAAAAATTTAAAAATAAAAACATGGCTGTTTTTGAATCTAGTTTGTAAATCATTAACATGTTAAATGTTCTAGAATAATGTAATTTTAAAGCAATATTATGAACACTGACATTTACAGTTAATGACTACAGTATCAACACAGGCATGTAATTTAATATACTACGTTATCAACACAACTGTGTACTATTAATGACTACAGTATGAACACGTGTATAATTTTATATGATAAGTTATCAACACAACCATGTACAGTTAATGACTACAGTTTAAAACAACTGTGTACAGTTAATGACTACAGTTTAAAACAACTGTGTACAGTTAATGACTACAATTTAACAAAACTGTGTACAGTTAATGACTACAGTTTAACACAACTGTGTACAGTTAATGACTACATTATGAACACGTGTATAATTTTATATACTAAATTATAAACACAACCATGTACAGTTAATGACTACAGTATTAACACAGGTGTGTAAATTTGAGTATTAAATTATTAACACAACCATGTACAGTTAATGACTACAGTATGAACACGTGTATAATTTAATATACTACATTATTAACACAACCATGTACAGTTAATGACTACAGTTTAACACAACTGTGTACAGATAACGACTACAGTATGAACACATGTATAATTTTATATACTAAATTATTAACACAACCATGTACAGTTAATGACTACAGTATGAACACGTGTATAATTTTATATACTAAATTATTAACACAACCATGTACAGTTAATTACTACAGTAGCAACACAAGCATATACAGTTAATGACTATATAATACTAGATGCAACACTGAATGTTGTCTATATGGAACAGGTAATTATTGGTCTTTAATTGTTAACTGTTTCTATTTCTAATTTTAAAAATAAAACATAAAAAGTGTAAAGGGATTTTTTGTTTACTGTGTAGTGATTTACACCTATGTGTAGAGAACTGATTTAGACTTTTTTTAATTGGCTAGTTTTGGATGAAGCTGACAGAATATTGGACCTTGGTTTTCAAAAAACAGTGAATGCCATAATTGAAAATCTTCCCCAGGATAGGCAGACTCTTCTGTTCTCAGCAACTCAGACTAAGTAGGCTCAATGTTTTATCTAATGCTCATTCCTAATTTAGCTTCATCAAGTTCCTTTTACATCAAAAGGACTTACTCACTTAGACTTCAATGAATTAAGAAGGAAAAAACACTTTTCACAACAAACGTACAAGTTACTTCCTGAAAACCAAACCTGTCACAATGTTTTTGTTTTTTTTAATAATAGTCGATGTCTCTATGGGCAGCTGTCAAGAACTGCTGTTCTAATGTATATGGGTAGTGATTGCTAATTTTCTTTCAGTCTTTGGTAATGCTAAGTTAGGATAAGTGTGAGAAACTTTTGAAATATGACTTGTAATCAGTCAACAGTGTGTAGCCACCTCTTTTGTATCTACATTTAAATTATGTTATAGCTCACAAGAATTGTTTGATATACCTTTTTTTATATTGAATATATTTAACTTTTATAGATTTGTGAAAGACTTGAATTCATTCAATTTGAAGTATCTTAGACTTTACAGAATATATTTGATCTATGAAATACTAAACCCAGTTTCAAGTATATTAGACTTTACTGTATATATTTAGTTCTTGTAGATCTGTAAAAGATTTGGTTCCACTCAGTTTGAAGTATATTAGACTTGACTGTATATATTTAATTACTGTAGATCTGTAAAAGATTTGGTTCCACTCAGTTTGAAGTATATTAGACTTTACTGTATATATTTAATTATTGTAGATCTGTAAAAGATTTGGTTCCACTCAGTTTGAAGTATATTAGACTTTACTGTGTATATATTTAATTACTGTAGATCTGTGAAAGACTTGGCTCGACTCAGTTTGAAGAATCCTGTCTATGTTTCTGTGCATGAAAATGCCAAACACAGCACACCAGAAGCTTTGAAGCAGGTATTGAAACTGTTTAGTAATCATTTACTCCTAGGCAGTTACAGATTTTTTATTCCTTTAGTTTTTCTAAGAAAAAGAAGAACTAAATTCTGTTGTGAATTAGGTTTTTTTTCCATGCAGGTGCTCAAACAGACTAGCTGTTGGGTTCTAAACAACATCAGGGATATAAGTTTATAGGAATATGAAACTATTCTTTTTTTTTTCTTAAAGTAATGTATTTATTGAATGACAGTGTTGATGGAAACTATATTTTAACTTAATACAAAATGTAGTGTTGTCTGTAGTTTATCTGTATGATAAACATTGAGCTTGAGTAAAATTCAAACTTGCACTTTTGTTTGAGGATTGATGCTGATTTAGTGGTATCTTTGAAAAAAATAATCCAATTCCCATTATAATATTGTATTTTTTTATAAATATCTTAGGTTTATGAATTAAATAAAACATTGAGTTCAGTAATATAGTCTCCATTTTTTATGTTTATAATACATTTCATTGTAATAGCACTTGACTATTGAGGATTGTTTGAATGATATTGAAAACAATCGTGTACATTATTGTATTGAATTTTTGATAAAATTTCTTGGCATCCTTTTAATCTAGTGTGTTTTTTGGAAGCATCCATACCAATAGATATTTGGTTGAAAGAACTTTAAATTAGTTTAAAATGAGAGAAATGTTTAGCAAATCCAGCATTTTATTTTAGTGTGTATGGAAAAAACTAATTGCATAAAGATTATGCTTCTCCAGAAAAATTAATAACTGATAATTCTCATGAAATAATCAACTAATCAATATTCATGTTTTAAATTATTTCTATTTTCAGTTGTTCCAACTACCCAATTCTTGTGTAAGATTAATTTATTAGCAAATTCCACTAACCACTCAGCTCTTGTTATGCTTAATTCCACTAACCACTCAGCTCTTGTTATGCTTAATTCCACTAACCACTCAGCTCTTGTTATGCTTAATTCCATTAACCACTCAGCTCTTGTTATGCTTAATTCCACTAACCACTCAGCTCTTGTTATGCTTAATTCCACTAACCACTCAGCTCTTGTTATGCTTAATTCCATTAACCACTCAGCTCTTGTTATGCTTAATTCCATTAACCACTCAGCTCTTGTTATGCTTAATTCCACTAACCACTCAGCTCTTGTTATGCTTAATTCCACTAACCACTCAGCTCTTGTTATGCTTAATTATGACTGATGAGTGTTATCATTTTGCGAGACTTAATATCTTCATCATTAATGAAACATCACAGCAAATGGAACAGTCAGAAGATTGTAATTAGAGAAACTAGTTTTGACATGTTCACACATCCTCTTCATGCATTAATGCATTGAAACCAGGCTATCAATATAATTACAAGTCTTCTGATAGTGTGTTCTATTTAGTGTGGATTTTCATTAACTGATATGCATATAATTGTGCATTTTATTAGTTTTAAATATTAAGTACATTATGGTTAAAACATCTTTCTTTTTTTGTTTAGAGTTATATTGTGTGTGAACTTCATGAAAAAATTAACCTGCTGTGGTCCTTCATCAGAAACCATCTGAAGCAGAAAATATTAGTGTTTATGTCCAGTTGTAAACAGGTAAGGTTAACATGTAATTTTAACAAAAGGTAGTTAGTGTTTAAATGAAATTCTTTGTATATGTACATAGATGATATTGATTATCTGTCCTTTTGTTTCTAAACTATGTACACAGATGAGACTGTTGGTCTATGTGTTCCTAAACTGTGTATACAGATGGGACTGTTGGTTTATGTGTTCCTAAACTGTGTACACAGATGAGACTGTTGGTCTGTGTTCCTAAACTATGTACACAGATGAGACTGTTGGTCTATGTGTTCCTAAACTGTGTACACAGATGAGACTGTTGGTCTATGTGTTCCTAAACTGTGTACACAGATTAGACTGTTGGTCTTTGTGTTCCTAAACTGTGTACACAGATGAGACTGTTCTCATCTGTTTACACAGTTTAGGAACACATAGACCACTGTTGGTCTATGTGTTCCTAAACTATGTAT